TCCAGACCATTTCTGATGTCCCCCCGCCGTGATATTGCTGGAATATTTCTAAAACAGGCGTAAAATCATACTCACTCATCACACATCCCCACACAACACACCAATCACTCACACATCAATAAACCACTCTCAGTCACTCGCAACATCACTCGATCACTCACTCGCGTGGATATTTATGTGTGGTGTGTAACATGAGCTCCTGTGTCGGAACAAGAGGAAAACACAACGTCGAGGTCGGGGACCTGTTCCCGGATGATGGATGTCGGTGAGACTGTCCTCCGACAGAGACCATCGCATCTCTGATCCATCTCCTCCCACACGCTGTCGTAGATTACCATACTTAACACATGTGTCTACGTATACCCAGCGATACACACTGGGCCACACACACACACACTGATGCAAACTACTCGCATGAAGTGTGCACATGTATTTGGAAGCACGAGCGTTCATTACTTGACAGGTGCATTCCGGGATAACAGTTTGTAATAATAGAACTTATTAATTAGGATCACTGATTAATCAACCATTTTTTCAGATATGAAACACTTATTTTAGTAAATATATGTTAAGCTTAATATTTACTTATGTAGGGACTGTGGGGTAGCCTAGTGGTTAAAGTGTTCGCTCGGCACGCCGATGACCCATATTCGAATCCCCTTATGGGTACAATGTGTGAAGCCCGTTTCTGGTGTCCCCCGCCGTGATATTGCTGGAATATTGCTGAAAGCGTTTAGTGTCAATCACTGGTTTGTGTGGTCCAGATTTGAGTATTAACAGGCTCACTGTACGACTGCCACTACTACTACTACTACTACTACTACTACCACTACTACTACCACTACTACTACTACTACTACTACTACTACTACTACTACTGTCACTACAACTACTGGAATAGTGCTGAGAGCGGCGTTGAACATCAAACAAACTACTACTACTACATGTACTACTACTACTACTACTACTGCTACTATTACTACTGCTACTACTACTACTACTACTACTACTACTATTACCACCACCACCAACACTGCCACTACCACAACTACCAACACTGACGAAGACCCGGGTTCGATTCCCGACATGGGTACAATGTGTGAAGCCCATTTCTGGTGTCCCCCGCCGTGATATTGCTGGAATATTGCTAAAAACGGCGTAAAGCCATACTCACTCACTCACCAACACTGCCTGACCCGTGAAGATCCGGATCGATGCTCATGATGTCAATCACCGGATTGTCTGGTCCAGGCTCGATTGTTTACAGACCGCCGTCATACAGCTGTAATCTTGCTGAGTGTGGCGTTAAACAACAAACAATCAAACAAAACAAACAAACCAACACTGCCATTTCTTCGTTTGTTTACAGACCGCCGTCATACAGCTGTAATCTTGCTGAGTGTGGCGTTAAACAACAAACAATCAAACAAAACAAACAAACCAACACTGCCATTTCTTCTACTGCTACTACTACTTCTACTACTACTACTACTACTACTACTACTACTTCTACTACTACTACTACTACTACTACTACTACTGCTACAGCTAAATCTATCACTGCCATTTTAGCACGACCTGTTCAGATCAGCATGGAATGTATGTTATGTGTACGCGTGTGTCTGTGCGGTAATCAATGAGCGGAAACCAAGCGCCAAAAACTGACAGAACGTGACCATCACGCGTGTCCGCCTCCTGCTGGACCCTAATCCGACACGAGTTGTCGGCCCTTGTAACGGATTATATTTTAACGTGCAACATATGTAGTAATTACAATGACGGGCAAAAATACCGAGTTTGTTTTTCATGTATTTGAAAAATTGAAAGAACTGTTGTTGGTTTTGTCCATTTAACCATCACTCATTCCTGCATTAGTTGGCTTGGTGATTTCGGTCCCCTGTATCCCTTCTATATCATCAGACCGCCTCCGTGGTCTAGTGGTAGAGCGTCCGCCCGGAGAGCGGAAGCTCCGGGGTTCGATCCCCGGCCGCGTCATACGTTAAAATATGGTACTTGTCTGGCGCTCGGCATTAAGGGTCTCAAACAAGGACTGGTCGGCTCGGAGTCAGTATACTGTGTCTGAGTGGGGTATTCATGTTAAACTGCAGCATGGTATCTCTGTGAGCTAGCATGGCATCAGTCCGGACTAGTACAAGCAGCCACACAAACACACACAAACGTACATGCACGTCGCTATATAAGTGCAATAATCTTGGACGCGACGTTAAACCCCATTTCACCTCACCTCATTTTGGTGATTTTGTGTAAAAATAAATTTGTTCAATGATACATGATTGAATTTGCAACCACATGACCCCTGCCATGTTAAAAAAAGTAAATTTGTGCCGAAAAGAACAAAGTTATTTGTACTTCAAGGATAAGATATCTACAATATCCATCAGCAGTTGTCTATTATTCAAATTTATTATTTTTTAATTCTTAAAGTTATATTTATCAACATAATACCATGTAGAAGTATTCTTTGTGTGTGTGTGCTAGCTACGCGCTGATACCATTAATGTTTTGGACCCGTGAAGATCCGGGGTAGAATAGGTCTTCAGCAACCCATGCTTGCCGTAAAAAGCGACTATGCTTGTCGTAAGAGGTGGGATCGTGTGGTCAGGCACGCTGACTTGGGTTATACATGTCATCGATCCCAATTGCGTGGAACGATGCTCATGATATTAATCACTGGATTGTCTGGTCCAGACTCGATTATTTACAGACCGCCGTCATGTAGCTGGAATATTGCTGAGTGCGGCGTTAAACAACAAATCAACCAACCAACCAACCATCATTAATGTTTTGGATACAACATCGCTTACTTAAGATATTTTCATTTGAAAATCAAACATATGGTAAAATCAACTGGGGGGTATAGTTTTTTTGCCAATCTGTATTATGACAGTGTTGAGTGGTATTTAGGAGCTGAAGTATTTACGAAGACAAAGTTGACTGATAGCTAGCGGCGTTAAACAACACATAAACAAACAAACACCCAAACAAACAAACAAACAAACAATGAAAGGAAGAGCCGAACATGTCTTCATTCTTCAGGATGTCCATTGTGTTCAGCGAGCAATTTATTTTATTTGTAAAAGTATTAGAAAGTAAAATAACTTGTAAAAAACTCCTAAACGGTCGGTCTCCAAGTAGGTTGTCAAATATAAAGCTCAAGCCGATGTGTTGTCGAGCGGCTATATTTAGCAGTGCATACGTGGGGTACGGTGGGGTAGCCTTGTGGTTAAAGCCTTCGCTCGTCAAAGACCCGGGTTGGATTCCCTACATGGGTACAATAATATGTTTGAGGCCCATTCCTGGTGTACCCCGCCGTCATATTACCAGAGTATTGCTAATGCGGCGTAAAACCATAGTATAACACTCACTGGATGCATGGGTTTAACCAAACTGATAAACGTCTGAGACCTGCATCACTTCGGGCTTTCCTCCCACATTAAGCTGACGCGTGATATAACTGGGATACTGTTAAAGCAGCGTTAAACCCAACTCACTCATTATGTAACCCCCCCCCCCCCCCCCCCCCCCCCCCACCCCCCCCAACCCTCCCTTCCCACTCTTCTTTGCCGTCATATAGCTGGAATATTGCTGAGTGTGGCGTTAAACAACAAACAAACAAACACCCACGATGTACATGGTGATACCAGATGCGCCCGTAAAATCCCTTAAATGTTCACGTTGTACGCTACATTCCGCCCCAGGAGACGTCACGTTACTTGTGGCCTTGCCGTGATTCTGACCGGTTGAACGAATCCCTACATGCTGAGTCTATATTAATACCACCTCACTGAAAATACATTTCAGAAACACGGATTAGATCGTGATAATCATTCGTATTGTTCTTGAATGGTGGAATGATTGCTCAGTGGTCTGAAGCGCTGCAATTTAATGGACAGGATTGCGTCCATTAGTCGGGCAAGGACACGCTGGTGTTAGGTTCGAAACCCAGAGCAATTTATGATCCTTGGTTCTGAATAGTATACCCATGCTCTTGCTTTTTCCTTATATGGTCTTTCCTTAATTGGGTCTTTCCTCCCATGGAGGCACGGGGGCCCAGTCGTGTGAGGCAGCTGCGATTCGCTGTGCAGAGTTGCGTCCCTTTGGCACGCCAGGAACCTATGATTGTGGGTTCGAGTCCTGGTTCGCTCCGATTATGTTTCTAGGCTTGTCAGCACCATACCCGTGCTCGTGGGTTTCAACGAAGTGGTAAACGTCCGAGACCTGTATCACTTCGGGCTTTCCTCCCGCATTAAGCTGATACGCCGTGATATAACTGGAATACTGTTAAAAGCGGCGTTAAACCAGACTCACTCACTCACTCCAAATGTAGAACTTCAAACATATCTAAAGGATGACAAGTCCGATGCTTTACTTCAATAAATAAACACACATCTAAATATAACCTAAATTTAAATACTGGTTTATCATCGGTCATTCGATGGGGCTGAATTCGAAACAATGGCGATGTAATGTGATATAACTCACTCACCTATTTGACGAAACACCACCTTCGTACAAATTAAGACAGTTCATGTTAGAATCGACGTAGTAAGTTTCTTTCGTTTAAGGAGATAAAAACTAATGTGGACACTGTGTGAATCCGCGTAGCGTTGCGGATGTTAGCAAACTGTGCACACCAGTTTTATCGTTTATAACTCCACTAAAAAAAGGAGGCTATTGAAGTTAGTTCTTTAAATAAATAAGTCAATAATGATAAAATCGCTGACTGCTTATTTATTCTGTACAAAACAACAACCTGTAGACAGCAGTACGAAATCGGTGACCTCGTTCAGTGTAATATTGTGACACAAGCCCCGCCCACTCCATTAACCAATCAGGAAATTGCAGTCCATTAATGGGCGTGGCCTAATTGATTGTTTTGGGTGAGCCAATCAAATTGAGATGGAATCACTTGTAATATATGTATTACAATATGACAGCATTTGTGGACATTTTGTGATAAATACTCTTGTTCCTTTCAGCGCACAGTGTCTTGAATTTGTCAATATACGAAGGATTATGGGTGAACTGCACACATTCCTCCAATGCAACATCACCAGATTTTATATGCAATGCAACGAGCGGAAGAGGTGAGTTTGTTTCAATATTACCCTGAGGGTAGGATAATAGGGAACATTAATTTAACTGATTATTACTGATTATTATTATGATGTGTTTCATTGTTTTCATTGTTTGAGAAGAGGCCAATATCTAAGTGACGTCATAATTGAAGATGACGTTTGTTGTGACGTCGTTCCGATAATAGAGGAACAACTGCCTTGATATCTTGATGTCTTGATGAGTTTAGGGCGTTGGGGTAGCCTGATGGTTAACCCTCTGGATGCCGAGTTTTTATTCTGACGCACATTTTCCTAAGATCTGTAAAGTAGAGGCGCTTGTATTTGCGTATTTACCAAAACATCCTGAACGATTCTAGGGTTATCGGAAACGTTTTGGAATGTTCATTGTTGATTTAATAGTGTGTGAGTGAGTGAGTATGGTTTTACGCCGCTTTTAGCAATATTCCAGCAAAATCACGGCGGGGGACACCAGAAATGGGCTTCACACATTGTACCCATGTCGGGAATCGAACCCAGGTCTTCGGCGTGACGAGCGAACGCTTTAACCACAGGGCTACCCGACCGCCCCGGTTATTTAATAAAAGACAGATACACGTGATCACTAATATGCTATTTGTGAAAATCATTTCTCCGAATAAATATCCGAAATGTAGATTTTTAAAAATGTTGTAAATAACGCCGTGAATGGTTATTTAGAAATGTGTAAATAATGGCGACATGTACGATGTACCTAATTTTCAGCGGTCATTTTCAGTAATGTTGCTATGCCTAAAATGGCAGTGGATGAGATCAGGAACACGGAATTTCCCACAAAATTCAAAACTGTTAAGTATGTTTGTGTGCGTGATGTTTGTTGAATTTTATTCGACTTCAAAGTGAGGGTTGAAGAGGAGGGATATAAATACCCCGCTGGCATCCAGTGGGTAAAGCTTTCGCTCGTCACGCCGAAGACCCGGGTTCGATTCCTCACATGGGTACAATGTGTGAAGCCCAATTTTGGTGTCTCCCCTGGCTTGATATTGCTGGAAAAGTAGCGGCGTAAAACCATACTCACTCACTGTTCCGGGCGAGTAAACATTCTCTGCGCCGTTAAATGTAACGTTAACGGATCTCGGCCGACTGAAGTACCTGAAACAGACATAAAATATTCACGTAAATCCATTCCACTCTCGCGACAACAACCGTCTTCAGTGAAGCACCGTTTATCCAGACCGTAACGTTCCCATTGATTTGTATGTGTCCGGAATAACGAGCTTTATAAAGCGTAAAATCGGTGACATGAAGGCGCTCCAACAGAACCGTCCGCCGGACAAACCAAGTTTCGTTGTAAAGAAATATTAACGCCTTTACCAGCAATAATGATTCGTTGATCCGAATGGTTTTTTTCGACTAAAATATGGGTAAAATTCATTGATACCACGTTAATATCTTTGTTTGTTTGTTGTTTAACGCACACTCAGCAATATTCTATCTATAAGACAATCCAGTGATTGATATTATGAACATTGATCCACACAATTGGGATACGATGACATGCATGAACCAAGTCAGCGATCCTGACCACCCGATCCCGTTTATCGCTACCTGCAACATGCATGGGTTGATGAAGACCTATTCTAACCCAGATATTTATATCTTCAAGTTGCTTGTAGTCATACATTTTAGGAATGGTCGTAGCTAGTTGTTATATCTGTTTGTCTTTGCGTGCTTACCCTGCATATTCGGCGTTCAACAAGCTAGGACGATGCTGACTTGCCAATGGGAGGGTTTATGTGCTGTGATTGGTTATTTAACTGTCGTGATAATAGAAAATCAATACTATCTGTGTCACGGAGGTCAACGTCGTGCATCAAGTTCACAAGAGGTGATGTCTGATCAATACAACCTGTTGGGAATACAAGTTTCAGTGCCCAATGGGTTTCTAGCCATGTGTATTCTGGGTAGAGTAGGTTTCAGTGCCCCATGAGTGTCGAGCCATGTGTATTCTGGGTAGAGTAGGTTTCAGTGCCCTATGAGTGTCTATCCATGTGTATTCTGGGTAGAGTAGATTTCAGCGCCCTATGAGTGTCTAGCCATGTGTTTTCTGGGTAGAGTAGGTTTCAGTGCCCCATGAGTGTCTAGCCTTGTGTTTTCTGGGTAGAGTAGGTTTCAGTGCCAAATGAGTGTCTAGCCATGTGTATTCTGGGTAGAGTAGGTTTCAGTGCCCCATGAGTGTCTAGCCATGTGTATTCTGGGTAGAGTAGGTTTCAGTGCCCTATGCGTGTCTAGCCTTGTGTATTCTGGGTAGAGTAGGTTTCAGTGCCCTATGAGTGTCTATCCATGTGTATTCTGGGTAGAGTAGGTTTCAGTGCCCTATGAGTGTCTATCCATGTGTATTCTGGGTAGAGTAGGTTTCAGTGCCCAATGAGTGTCTATCCATGTGTATTCTGGGTAGAGTAGGTTTCAGTGCCCTATGAGTGTCTATCCATGTGTATTCTGGGTAGAGTAGGTTTCAGTGCCCAATGAGTGTCTAGCCATGTGTATTCTGGGTAGAGTAGGTTTCAGTGCCCTATAAGTGTCTATCCATGTGTATTCTGGGTAGAGTAGGTTTCAGTGCCCCATGAGTGTCTATCCATGTGTATTCTGGGTAGAGAAGGTTTCAGTGCCCCACTAGTGTCTAGCCATGTGAGGGGCGGTCGGGTAGCCTAGTGGTTAAAGCGTTCGCTCGTCACGCCGAAGACCCGGGTTCGATTCCCGACATGGATACTATGTGTGAAGCCCATTTCTGGTGTCCCCCGCCGTGATATTGCTGGAATATTGCTAAAAGCGGCGTAAAACCACACTCACTCACTCACTCTAGCCATGTGTATTCTGGGTAGATTAGGTTTCAGTGCCCCATGAGTGTCTAGCCATGTGTATTCTGGGTAGAGTTGGTTTCAGTGCCCAATGAGTGTCTAGCCATGTGTATTCTGGGTAGAGTAGGTTTCAGTGCCCCATGAGTGTCTAGTCTTGTGTGTTATGTGTAGAGTAGGTTTCAGTGCCCAATGAGTGTCTATCCATGTGTATTCTGGGTAGAGTAGGTTTCAGTGCCCCATGAGTGTCTAGCCTTGTGTATTCTGGGTAGAGTAGGTTTCAGTGCTCTATGCGTGTCTAGCCATGTGTATTCTGGGTAGAGTAGGTTTCAGTGCCCTATGAGTGTCTATCCATGTGTATTCTGGGTAGAGTAGGTTTCAGTGCCCAATGAGTGTCTATCCATGTGTATTCTGGGTAGAGTAGGTTTCAGTGCCCTATGAGTGTCTATCCATGTGTATTCTGGGTAGAGTAGGTTTCAGTGCCAAATGAGTGTCTATCCATGTGTATTCTGGGTAGAGTAGGTTTCAGTGCCCTATGAGTGTCTATCCATGTGTATTCTGGGTAGAGTAGGTTTCAGTGCCCAATGAGTGTCTATCCATGTGTATTCTGGGTAGAGTAGGTTTCAGTGCCCTATGAGTGTCTATCCATGTGTATTCTGGGTAGAGTAGGTTTCAGTGCCCTATGAGTGTCTATCCATGTGTATTCTGGGTAGAGTAGGTTTCAGTGCCCTATGAGTGTCTATCCATGTGTATTCTGGGTAGAGTAGGTTTCAGTGCCCAATGAGTGTCTAGCCATGTGTATTCTGGGTAGAGTAGGTTTCAGTGCCCTATGAGTGTCTATCCATGTGTATTCTGGGTAGAGTAGGTTTCAGTGCCCCATGAGTGTCTATCCATGTGTATTCTGGGTAGAGAAGGTTTCAGTGCCCCACTAGTGTCTAGCCATGTGAGGGGCGGTCGGGTAGCCTAGTGGTTAAAGCGTTCGCTCGTCACGCCGAAGACCCGGGTTCGATTCCCGACATGGATACAATGTGTGAAGCCCATTTCTGGTGTCCCCCGCCGTGATATTGCTGGAATATTGCTTAAAGCGGCGTAAAACCACACTCACTCACTCACTCTAGCCATGTGTATTCTGGGTAGATTAGGTTTCAGTGCCCCATGAGTGTCTAGCCATGTGTATTCTGGGTAGAGTAGGTTTCAGTGCCCAATGAGTGTCTAGCCATGTGTATTCTGGGTAGAGTAGGTTTCAGTGCCCTATGAGTGTCTATCCATGTGTATTCTGGGTAGAGTAGGTTTCAGTGCCCTATGAGTGTCTATCCATGTGTATTCTGGGTAGAGTAGGTTTCAGTGCCCCATGAGTGTCTAGCCATGTGTATTCTGGGTAGAGAAGGTTTCAGTGCCCCATGAGTGTCTAGCCATGTGTATTCTGGGTAGAGTAGGTTTCAGTGCCCCATGAGTGTCTATCCATGTGTATTCTGGGTAGAGTAGGTTTCAGTGCCCCATGAATGTCTAGCCATGTGTATTCTGGGTAGAGTAGGTTTCAGTGCCCCATGAGTGTCTAGCCATGTGTATTCTGGGTAGAGTAGGTTTCAGTGCCCCATGAGTGTCTAGCCTAGTGTGTTATGGGTAGAGTAGGTTTCAGTGCCCCATGAGTGTCTAGCCTTGTGTGTTCTGGGTAGAGAAGGTTTCAGTGCCCTATGAGTGTCTATCCATGTGTATTCTGGGCAGAGTAGGTTTCAGTGCCCCATGAGTGTCTAGCCATGTGCATTCTGGGTAGAGAAGGTTTCAGTGCCCTATGAGTGTCTAGCCATATGTATTCTGGGTAGAGTAGGTTTCAGTGCCCAATGAGTGTCTAGCCATGTGTATTCTGGGTAGAGTAGGTTTCAGTGCCCTATGAGTGTCTAGCCATGTGTATTCTGGGTAGAGTAGGTTTCAGTGCCCCATGAGTGTCAAGCCATGTGTATTCTGGGTAGAGTAGGTTTCAGTGCCCTATGAGTGTCCAGCCATGTGTATTCTAGGTAGGCTAGGTTTCAGTGCGCCGTGACATTGCTGGAATATTGTAAAAAGGGGCGTAAAACCATCCTCACTGTCATGGTAGATTGTAGTGTCAATGGGATTGGCGTCCACTGTTGCCATCAGAAGATCTGGCAGTCAGGTTAAGTGACTTGGCTGGCCGTGTAT